CTCGATTGTTTCAAGAATTTTCATATAACCTTCATTCTAGCTAGACATTACAATTATTCATTACATGCATTCAAGTTTTTCATATGTTGTCAGATCAAAACAAACCTCATTGCATCCTTCAAAGGAGAAAACATCTCCAATAATATCAGAATTTCTGTGATAAATCTCTATGCCCCAAGGCACAAACCGTATTTGATATCTTACGGTTATACTATCGCATAATAATTTATTTGTACCCCACTGAAATTATACCTTTATTTATTGACTACCAGTCCAAAATGTCACTTTTCTAAGTGAAACAAAATATACTTGAATTGTAAATTTTACTTGGCCAACCATTTATCTGTCCACACTATATGACAGATTTGAATTCAATATCCTCGTCACAATTTATATCATTGAGTGCTACCTCATATCAAAGATACCGTCGACAGTTATTTGATATCGATTCCAACAAGACATAACTTATCGACATCTCTTCATTTTTCATTATTTTAGGTACCTGAACCTTTTTCAATATTTTATGAAGTGTTATGTCAATGTGCTCTTTTATAGAACTTGCTCATTATCATGACCATATTGATCATTTTTTCCTTCCTTCTTCAAGAAATTTTATACTTGGAATCAATTAGTCTATTACGCTTCCGGCGTATCATAGACTCTGTCCTTCAAGGACTTCATATTGGAGCATTTGCAGCTGAATTATATCATAGGGTCAGTGCATTCATCTGGCAACTGATTTGCAATATTATGCAACTAAATTATCCCTTGAACTTTAAGTTCACATATTTATTTAAAGAGGATCTAGATAATTCATAATTAACTTCACACATAATTTTCAGTTGTCTATCATCTCTCCCCCTAATGTTAGAAAATCTAACATTCATTTCTACTTATTTGGAAGTTCATCTTTGTGCGTGGTGGAGCAATTAAAATCATAACCGCACATTCAACATTTTAGATGAAAATTATATGGTTCCTGACCCTGAACCAATTTTAATGATGAAACCTTGTTGGTTTGATGCATACATGTGTTGCTACATGTTAAATAAAATTATCTCATACCAAATCTTATTTGGGAGTTTTGTTCTCATAACCATGATTTAGATATAATTGGAGGCATACAATTTCTGCTAAATCAACCAGCATTATCAATGTAATTTCATAGTTTGGAATTGTGCTCTTAAATTTTAACAATTCGAGCAAACAACCTTACAAAAACCAATTTGTAAGTTGACAACAAAATACATGTGACCATCGCATAGATGCATCAATCATATAGTTGCAAATGGTCCACATGATAGGTTAACGGGCCCATATTCACTCTTTTATATCTTTCAAAAATTTTAGGGGATTACAATCCCAACTTTAGCTGGTACAATGATCATTTTATCAAGAGAACAAGCAACACAAGAGAATTCTTGAAGAATCTTTATTTCTTCATCATATAAATCACCTGAATTCTCAATCACGTTTGCATCACATTTAATTGGAATGGTCAACCAGTCATGCCAACTGATCTTTATTTCAATACACTTATAATTTACTTTTACATGTGTTTTCATCAACATGTACATGTTTGTATGGAACAAACAAGAGGAAAAGTGGGGTAATAAACATTTATAACCCTCTTCGGTTGTAGTGATTTATAGTTTCAATATTTACTTTTAATTCATCCGAAACTTAAAAAGTTTATTTTAAGACTTAACACAATCCCAATATTATTCCTCTGATAATAGCACAACTCGTTAGATCTGTAATTAATTTTGTGTACTATCACATATTGCATGACACCATCCCTATGGTGAGAATCTCCTTCAAGGAGGAAATTATATTATTATTGTCATGGTCAAAATCATTACGAACAAGCCATCTTTCTTGCTTTACTTTTGTTGTACCATAGGTACACAACCAATGACAAATTTGTATTGCCACACAATAATGACCACAACCCTTATAGGCAAGAACTATTTCTTTCTTTTGCCCTTTCGGTAGTTCACAATAAACATACCATAATGACGTATAAAACGTAAAATACGATTAGCCATTTCTGCCAAATAAAATTTATTTCCTCTCAAATCTCCCGTAGAGATGAGAAGTGACATATATCATTTTTTCTCAAACCTTCCATAGAGGTGAGTTGTGGCATATATCCAACCCATAATGACTTTATCACATCTAGACCCATTCTCTTATAGATAGGTTGAGCATGCACGATACTCATCACAAGTCACATTCTCTTCAAGGAATGGACTAATCATTTATATGTACTTCAAAAATTTGCATTATGATCACATTGTCATGACCTTAAAATTCATCATATTTCCATGACACACCTCAATATCACTTTGAAAGATCTAGTGTACCATCACTTTATCTTCTTGTATCATGATAGAAGATTTATAAACTTGTCAAATTATTGGGTTGACAACATTCACAAGTATAATGACCTTTCATACCATTTTGATAATAAAAATTGCCTTCACATTTTGAAGGACTATTTGAAGAACTCTTAGTGTTTTTCCTTTTATCAATACCTCAATGATGACTATTATAATTTTTTCCCTCCACGCCCTTATTCATATCATTAATTATTTTTCATCTTTCAGACTAATCATTCACTGCTACCACATTCATATGATTGAATGGAGCAAGTCAACAGGCGGATTTAAGAGTTATCACATGTTGCTACCACATTCTTTTCAAGGAATGGAGAAAATTCAATATGATGAATTTCAAGACATTTCATTAAAAATATATTATTTTTCTTAGTCATCATTTTATCATCGCTATGGTGCATTGGCTCAAACTCAATGTCTTACCCATATAAGGCGTGTTACTCCATAAATCTATGGGACTTGAACCCAATCACGGTGCATCAAAACTCTAATTGATGTCTTACCCTTTTGGTGCAATAGAAGTTGAATCTATCGTCTTATCCTCAAATATTTTTCATTATGGTGCATCCAGACTTTAACATGATGTCTTACCCTTTTGGTGAGATGAAACTTGAATCCGTCGTCTTACCCTTAACCAACGGTATAATGAACCGAAGTAAAACATGATTTATTCTTTGAGTCTTTCAAAACAATCAAAATAATATTCAAACTCATGCTATTAAAATTTTATACCTTCTTCCATTTAAGAAGTTTGTATAGCATGTCATATTCAACCAATAGTAGTATATGTCTTCGGCTCCTGATAATTGTTAGTGACTGAATACTATTTTATTCTAAATCATAAAATATTTTAGAAAATACATACATGATTTTATGAATATAATACTTTGATCTTCATAACGAGATCAACCAAAATATGAGCTAAAGAAAAATAAGAACTCACTCTCAATTGGATAGAGACTCGTGCTGATAACGTGTTATTAAATCAAGCTCATAAGAATATAATCATAAAGATAAGAAGACAAGATAAGTAGATAGAAGAAGAAGAATTTTCTTCTTATTCAAGTGTATATTACAATGGTGAATGATATCTCTATTTATAGGTAGAGAAATCAACCAAAAGGTCACCATGATTAATGTCACATTAGTAGATTCATCACCTTGGAAATACATATCCATGATAAGAATAAGTTTATGATAAGTTTAATGGACAATCCACTTAATTCAATGTATTTATAACAAAACAGTAAATATATGAATGAAATATATATAGGTAGAATTAGGATGTGAAAATTTTTATAACTAATTTGTAATATAAAAGTATTTTATTGAAAAATCATGTCTTTTGAATTAGTTTATATAGCACATAAATGAGAGAAAAGAAATAAAGTCACCCAAGTAAATGTTTTCATAATGTATACTATTTCTTTGATAAAGCTTCGATAATCTGACAGTTGGTATTCCCAAAAAAAATATGGTGACAAACAACGTATACAAACATGAATTGAATAAATATATAAATGAAATATGAGTCTTTTTGTCTTTTCATACAACTGTACAAATTCCAACCGGATACTGAAGATGATCATTGCTGCAACATTTCGTAAATACTATAGAGTATTAAGGACCTTTTAAGTTAATTGAATTAGATATAAAACTAAAAGAGGTAATATTAAGAAAAGGAAAAAGATAATATATAATTATTTAATCGTAAATTAATTAGACATATTATATTTTAATTGAGTGTAGGGGTAAATTGGTAAATCAACTTTGAAGTTGGGAGCTTCATACTTTTAATAATATATGATAAGTGTTCTCGTACTTGTTTTAACTTATTTTTACTTGTGACTATTCTTCATATTTATTATTTTCTTCTTAAATTTTAATATCTTTTACTTAAATTTTTTTAAAATTATAAAAATGATCAATTCAAAATCTGAATATTTAAAACATGACATATTACTTTGGATTTATGCCATTTTTAGAAAATAAATAAATAAATAAAATTGTCATATTTGTTAACATTCACTTGTTCTTAGCATTTTCTTATTTGCATATAAATACATTTTTGTATATCCTTCCACAAGTTTTATTCTCTTATCTACTTCCTTAAGATCTGGGAATTGCCTCACGAATTTATGATTGCCCATCTTGAATGTTATCTTCTTGATTGGTTTGTCTAGAAGGGGCTTCGAATCCAGCAATTGCCTTGAGAATTTATGACGGTCGAACTTGATTGTTATCTTCTGGTTTGATTTGTGTAGAAGGGACATTGAATCAATTTTCTTCTTCCTTGTTATTGCTGTGTTGGCTATTTTGGATGAATTTTACAGAAAAATATAGTTCAAGAGCTTGTCTGCAGTCCAACGCTTGCTCTGATTCTTCACAAGACATTTTCCCAGAAAATCTTGAGGCTCATTTGAAAACTTTGAATTCTGTAACATTGGTTCCTCAAACTCAATTTTGTCCAACACATAATCCCCATGTGCATCTTCCCACATCAGTGTCCCCGTAATAAGCTCATAGACAGTACATCCAAGAGCCCAAATATCAATTTCTGGGCTATACTCGGTGTTAATCACAAATTCTGGTGCCATATACCTTTGTATTCCCTGATAACTTCCTGTTTTTGGTTCATGCCCTGTTCCAAGGTCACGGAAAGCCCGAAATCACCAATCTTGACAGTTTTGTCCATGCCCACGAGGAAAATATTGCCAGGCTTGATGTCACAGTAAATAATTCCATTGTTGTGAATGCAACTAAGCCCTAAGAGAACATTCTTCCTGTGTTTCTTAAATTCAAACTCCAACAGTGAATTGCAGTTCTGAAGATGATCAGCAAGGCTTTCTCGAAGCATACTCGAGCAATAAGTTGTAAAGATTGAAGTTATCTTCCAAAGAGACATTAGCTCCAAAACAGTGAACAATGTAAGGATAATGTTTGAACATTAAGAGGATTTCGACTTCTTCTTTCAACGATTGAGAAGCATTCAATTCGCATGATTTGAGAGAGGGAAGAATAACACCACAAAATAGTGCATTCGAGGTAGAAGCTAATGAGACGACTCCAAATCCACCTTCAGGAAGAGTTGTGCCTCTCTTCCACGAGTGGTATTATTTATTAACAAATTAATCATGCATTTCCAGTCAACTTGATGAACCCTAACTCCTTAATTCCTTCCTAAATAAGGCAGAGTCATCATATTGAAAACTGAATTACGTTGTTGGTAAATATTCCGATGGTTTTGATGAAATAAATTAGGCCAATTTTTCCGCGGAGAGAATTTTTTGAAGAATAAAAAAATGATTGCCTTTATTGATACTCTTATATAATTTTATTTTATTTAATTGATGTAAACTTAAAATACTTACTAATATTTATTGGTTTATGATGTAAGATGTATAAGGTAAAAATAGCCATGGAGACAATTAACTTTTAAGAAGCACCCTAATAAAATTGTAGGATCATCACGTCTTGTAAAGTAATAACAGATAGTATTAAATAAATAGTATAAAATAACTTACGAGCGGGATCGTCCAACTTGTCAAATCTATCAGAAAACAGGACACACCGCTGTTCGTTGCTGGTTTCGGTATGAGGAGATCCGAAATAGTGATAACCGTGCCAATTATGCATCTCAAGCTGGCCCTTCCTCTGAATGGCTATTGGATACTAGGGCCAACATGCATGTTACTTCTGATCTATCCAAGCTTAACGCTCCAAATCCATATCATGGCTCCAATGGTATTACTATTGGCAACGGTGAGTCCCTTAATATTTCTCACACTGGCACAGGTACCATTAAAACCCCCACCGCTATCTTTCACCTAGGTAACCTTACCCACGTCCCTTCTATTAAAACCAATCTCCTTTCAGTTCACCAATTCACAAAAGACAATAATTGCTCACTCTTGTTCACCTCTAATGATTTTCAGATCCTAGACAATACTACCAAGAGGGTGA